TGCGGTGTGGGGGTGCGGGGTGGGGGCTGGCCCTAGAACATGCCGGCGGATCCAAAGGTGTCGGGTGTTTCCAGGGCACGTTGAGTCGTTCGGCACCAGCACCCATCGCAGACTGTTCAGAACCGTCGCTCGGGAGCTTTTCTGTCTGATCCGTGTGAGTTTGGTGATGATGGTGGAAAGAATCGACAAAAACCCGGCGCTCCAGAGGCTGAACTGTTGCTGCATGACAGTGACAGTCACTAAGGAGCACGTGTACCAGATAGAAATCCCAGGTTTTATGAAAATTGATAGGAATTTTGGAAGTCTTACCTGAGATGCTTAACAAGACCAAGTGTGGATGCCCAAGGTGGACAGCCAGAACATGACAAAAATCAGCAGTTATGGTCCCAATCTGTAGTTATTTATCTATGTATCTGTGTGCAGTGAGTGTGGGATAGAGCCCCGTAGCCCTGGGGACCCTAGGACTGAAGTCACCCTTGGCCCAGAGGGATGTCACAGCCCTCCAGGACCCCGAATTCTCCTTTCCCAAGCCTCAGTTGCCCACCACAGTTCATAGTGTGGCTCCTGCTCCCCAGGGACAGCCCTTGGCACAGGTAGGGGCACACCTGTGTCCAGGTGGGTGACTTGTGGGACCCTGCCAAGCTGGACAGGAGCAGCAGCAAACCCAGGAGCTCCGTCCGGTATTGGGGGTTTTTGGTTGTTTTGGGTCCCTCCCTCTACCTGGACTGGACCAGTGGGAGTCACAGCCTGGGGGGGGGCTATTGCTTGGGGGTGAGACCAGCCCACGGTGTGTCCTGCCTGAGCTTGGGCTGCTTTCACCTAAAGCAAATGTGACGTTCCCAGCCTCTCCACATTGAACAAATAGTGCACAATCTAGTGAGCAGAGTTTCCAAATAAATTGGAAAACCTGCTGATTTCCAAGCAATGTGGAAAGATTCAGATTCAGCCTTTTCTCACCCGTTTTTGCTTCCCTGAGCAGTCCTTTGTCTACAAGGCATCCCTTGGGGTGGCAGAGCCTCTCACAGCACTGTTTGCAGTGTAGGGAGGCACAGAGAGATGCTGTCCAGACCAAACGGGTGCAGACTGATGAGCAGGAGCAGAGGAATGACTGAGCAAGAGCCGTGGGCTCGACGCTGCCGTACACAAGGCATGCAGTAATATTTTCCAGATAACATTTCATTTTTCCCCCCTCCTTTTCACTTGCAGTTCTCATGTAGGATTTCAGCTCCCTGGTTTTATGTTCCAGTGCATACCAGTATCTCCTCCAAGCTGCCGTTATGCCTGGCCGTGCCAGTCTGTTGTGCAGCAGAGTAGAAACCTCCTGTGATGTCCCACATCCTCCTGCCCTCGTACCTGCTGGGCCAGGTCAGGCTGGGAGAACCAGAAACATTTATGCTTTCACTGATGATTTTTTTATACGCTTTCACTTGCCTATTTCCTTGCCCTTCTTTTCCTATCTGAATCCATCAGCTGGACACAAAAGAAATTTATAAATAGTTTAGATTCCCAGATAGTCTGATTTTTTTGAAATTACATTTTCACAGGAAAAAGAAAATAACAGAGCTCCGGAACTGCCACAGAGATGAATGAACTGCAACTTGCACTGTAGCTTTGCTGAAACACTTTTTATCTCATTTAATCTCATTTTTATCTCACACAGTGAAACTCATTCAGCAGCTCATGTTTTTGCTGTCTTGAGTAATCGCGCAGTGGGGAGCACACTCTGCTCGCCGTGCTCAGGCAAGTTGTCCCATTGAGACAATAAAAGAGCCCTTTAACAAATTATGATGTTTTTAAGTTAGAGGATTTCATGCATCTCGGAACAATGGCAGTACATTTCGCTCCCCTCTGACTTAAAAGCGTATTGATACTGTGTCATGTTTCTATTCCTCCTGGGCAAATAAAATCTCTTGCTCTGGCAGTCACCTTGAGCTCCCGTGAAGTTTCCAAAGAGGTGGGAGGGTTTTGTTGTTTGTTTTTGTTTTTTACTTTCAGCTAATTAGGACCAGTTGTTTCAGTGGCTGATTAGATTATCAGAACTTGCTGCTTTACCAGGGCAGTGCCGTGTGGTTTGGATGTGCGCTCCACTTACAAATTAAATGTCTTGGTTCTGGTATTGTTAAAATAAGTCAAAGAAAATCCCGCAGCTTTGAATTTCATGCCAGATATTCAACAAAGCGTTCATTCCATGTATCATTAGATTGTGGCTTGAGAAAGAGCAGGCCTGCTCTTTGCTTAACAGTTTTGCTGGCGCGGTGCGGGGAGCTGCTTCCCCCGCCATCCCGGAGCGATGCCGTCACGCTGGCAGACGTCCCCGTACGTGGAGTGGTGCTGGCACGGCATTCCCCGTGCCTGTGTAACTTTCTGCAGTTGGGAAATGGGTTTAAGCTGTGCCTCTTTGGGAGAGATGGGCTGCGAGGGATGTACCCTCACCTGCAGACCCTTCTGAAGTGCAGGACAGTCTGTAAATGTATGAAAGTGGTCGAGTGTTCACAGGACAGTTTCACCAAAAGCTGATTTGGCTTTTTGGGGGATTGGGTTTTGGGGTTTTTTTCCACTGGTACTTCTTTCTTGTATTACAACAGCACTTTGCAGAGCCGATGAAAATCAGTCCACTTTTCCTCCAGACTCCACTGTCTTGGCTCCTTTTCTGTTGCCAGCACCTCTGTTTTGTACATCTGTGTGCCCCTGTCATGGCGAAAGCCTAAATCAAGCTCCGGGCTCCGGACCAGAGCATCAGCGGCGCTGGGCAGAGGCACCCGCTGAGGGGCTGTGGGCTCGGAGCTCACCAAGAGGTTGGGCTGGGGCCGTGCCAGCCCTCCGAGGCTGTTTGTGTCCCCCCTGTTGAGCCCATCTCCCCTGGTTTTGTTTTTGCTGCTGCATTCAGCCCATAGCTGAACCCCAGCGCTGAGCCCTGTGCTTCTTGGGCACTGGCACCGAGCTCCCTCTTTGCCACCTTCGGAGATGGTGACAAATCTCCTTTATTTATTCTGTAGTGTCAGGACCCTTTAGGCTATTTATAAGCTGTGATCATGCCCCTCCCGAGATGTTTGCAAGATAAATTTAGCTCCCTTAGCTTCTCATCGCCAGTCCTTGCGCTGCCTTTCCTTGTACCAGCTCCGAGACCCGGCCGTGTGCTGGAGCTGCAGCGAGGGGTGACTCACTTTCTATGCTCGTCCGGGACAGACTTCATCTCAAATGAATCTCGGTCTCTCAGAGCCTGGGGAACCTGTCCAAGTCTCCGCTTCCAAAAGGCAGCCGGGAAGGGAGTGGTGGGGGATTAAGCAGAGGAGTGCAGAGAAGGCCTGCAGAGGAATGCTGCCGTGGGACGCCGTCTTCGGTGCCCAGGAACAGTGTGGGTGGGAGGGGAAGGGGCTGGGGGTGCTGGGGGGCCCTGCGGTCAACTCCCCTCTCTGCTGCCAGAGCCTTGCAGGGGATGGGCATCCCAGCCAAGCCCTTCCTCCTCCCGAGGCTGTGGGGCGGTTTTTGGTTGAAATGGCAGGTTTTCCCCAGGTGGTTCGGGCTGTTGGTCTGCAAACCAGCATTTTCAGGTGCTCCCTACTCCTGGTGGGTGTTCAGCAGTTAACCAGTTGTGATGCCAAGGCTGGTTGAACACCTTTTTTTCTCCTGATTTGCTGCACAAGGTTATGGGGAAAGCAAAATGAAGACTGGTCTAGTGGGGGTGGATTTTATTCCATTTCTGTCATCATGGTAAGAACCCACTGAGAATATGCAGAAATGAACAGACAGCCCCAAAACTCCAAATAAATCACTCAGTTTTGTAGCTTTGGTACGAGTCACCTGTTCTCAGCAGGACGCCAGTCCCGTGTCCCCTGTGAGCCACCTTCGCTGAAGGTGCCAACCGTGGCTCTGCTGGGGCTGGGGCGGTTCTGCCGTGGACTCGGCTGAGCCGTTCGTTCACCTCGGGAGGGCTCTGGGTGGTGTTTCCGAGGGAGGTGGGTGCCTGTTCTGCTGGTCCTCTGAGGTGGCTGCAAGCGAGCGCACACTGAGCCAGAACACGTGTGGGGCAGGAGGCTGGGCAGCCCCCACAGGGCTGGCTCAGCGGGGCTGGCTCAGCGGGGCTGCCAGTGGCTGGCCTCTTACGCTGGGGACACAGCCGGCCACCAACATTTGGTTCTGTCAGAACAATGCAAA